TTAGCATATCTAAAATTGAACTCTTAATTTTTCTTCAAATTATTTTTCTCAGTCTTCCTTATTTCAAAAAATTGTCCTTAAAATGTCAACACAGACTAAATTAAACTTTAGTTAATAAAATTGACAGTTTCAATAGCTTTCCTAAACAGAGCACTGAATTTGCTAATATTTATCATTTGAGATTTCCTGAAAAAATATATCTGATTCCAGGGTTGAGGTATTGATATCTATATTGTACATACACCACACTTTCTAAGAAATAATGTGTGTACTTGTAGTAGTATGTAAATAAATCAAAGTATTATTCATGAAAGTAAAACCAAAGCCATAAGCATGTCTTCCTGGCAACGAAAAGGTGCTCCACATTGTTATTCATCCAGGAAGTGTACATCAAACTTAAAATGAGATGCCACCACACGCTGATCAGAACGGTTAGAATGAAACAGGCAGAGAATACTGATATGGTTTGGCTGTACCCCCATCCAAATCTCATCTTGAATTGTAGCTCTCATAATTCCCACGTGTTGTGGGAGGGGCATGGTGGGAGGTAACTGAATCATGGTGGTAGGTCTTTCCCATGCTATTCTCGTGATAGTGAATAAGTCTCATGAGATCTGATGGTTTTATAAAGGGGAGTTTCCCTGCACAGTTCTCTTCTCCTGTCTGCCACCATGTGAAACGTTCCTTTCACCTTCTGCCATGATTGTGAGGCCTCTTTCTTCTGTAAATTGCCTAGTCTTGAGTATGTCTTTATCAGCAGCATGAAAATGGACTAATACAAATACCAAGCACTAGTGAGGATGTGAAGCAAAGGAAACTCTCATATACTATTAGTGGGACTATAATATTTAACATTTAATTGCGTCTTAAAATGGCACCTATTATTTTCTTTGTCAATCCCACATCATCTACTTTGGGGAATTGCCATTTCTCTGGCTCATTCTGTTTGGGCCATTCAACATATGTTCTTGCCTTCCATATCACAGTTGTAGGGTGCACTATATCCCTAGACACAGTGCTTAGTGTAGTGATCCGCAATTGCCCCAAGCTAAGTCATTAAGAATCTTTTAAAGGAGATCAGTCTTGTTTCTTTTTCTGGCATCACAAACTCTCAAAATAATGTAGACTTTTGGGTGGTAGGGCCATCTTGCTGTGACAGAGGAGAGCCTTTCTCAGGCAAGGAGAACTGAGAGACAAAACTCCTATGACATTATTAAACTTGTTTCTAAAGCCAGGATATATCTTGGGCTTTTTACTTTCCCTCCTTAGGCTAGTTGATATAGTTTGGCTCTGTGTTCCCACCCAAATCTCATCTTGAATTGTAATCCCACATGTTGATGGCGGGACCTGGTGGGAGGTGATTGGATCATGGGGACAGTTTTCCCCCATGCTGTTCTCATGATAGTGAGTTCTCACAAGATCTGATGGTTTAAAAGTGTGTGGTGGTTCATCTCTCTCTCGCCACCATGTAAGATGTGCCTTGCTTCTCTATGATTGCAAGTTTCCTGAGGCCTCCCCAGCCATGCAGAACTGTGGGTCAATTAAACCTTTTTTCTTTATAAATTACCCAGTCTCAGGTAGTTCTTTAGAGCAGTGTGAAAACAGACTAATATAGAAAATTGATATTGAGGGAAATAGGGCACTGCTATAAAGATACTTGAAAATATGGAAGTGACTTTGGAACTGGATAATGGGCAGAGATTGGAACAGTTTGGAGGGCTCAGAAGAAGATAGAAGATATGGGAAAGTATGGAACTTCCTAGAGACTTGTTGAATGGTTTTGACCAAAATGCTATATTGATATCTACATATACTACTGAACTATTGTTCCTTATCTAAGTTTGTAACTGAAATTGTTGTATCTATTTAGCTTTATCTAAGAGTGACAGAAAGCTATCACAATAGAAGTCCATAAATAACTTTGAAGGGAAATAAGCTACTGAGAAAAGTTTTTATGAAAAACAGATGACTAATGCCTTTAATATATAAATAGTTAGTACAAGCCAATAAACAAAAAACTAAAAGCATCTCCAATAGAAAAAATGAATAAAGGACATAAATGACAATAGAAAATGAAGATGACCATATGAAAAAATACTTACCTGCACTAGAAATTTTTTGAGTTGAATTAAAATTTAATGCAATGTTTACCTAACAAATAAGATATATTAAAAATAATATTCAATATTGACAAACTCTGATGAGATGTACACTTAAGGCATTGCTGGTAGTAATATAAAATAGTGCAACTTTTCTGGAAGACAATTGGAATTATGTTTCAAATATATTTAACACATTGTCTCAATGAAATGAGAAATACAGACAAACATTTAGGTAGAAAGATATTCTTTTTAGTTATTTATAATAACAGTCTACTGGGAAATGGTTAAGTAAATATAAAATTTATTTTTGGGTATAATATGAAGTAAGAATTTAATTTTCCCTAAGTGGTTAATTGTTCTAGCATTGTTTACTGATTAGTTGAACATTTCTTCACTGATGTTTGACTATACCTCTGGTTCCATATGGACAGTGGTCTGTTTCAGGCATTTTATCCTCTTCTACTGGTCTCTTTATCATCCCATGTTAATATTAGACAGACTTAAGGCCACAATTTTAGAATGAGTCTTGATATTGGGTAGAACAATCTTCTCTGTCTTCAGATTGTTTCAAAAATATTTTGACAATTTTTCCTTGCTCCCTTTTCTAACTTCATGTACATTTAAAAAACAGCTTATTCAGGTAACCTCAAAGATGCTTTTTTTGAGATTTTAAATAGAATTAAATTTGTGGATACATTTGAGAGAAATGACATCTTTTAGCTATTAAAGTTTCCCCTCCAAGATCATAATATAGGTCTTTATGTATTTAAGTATTCTTTTATGCATCTGTATATGCATATGTATATCTATATCTATAATGGGTTCATACAACTTTTATAAGGTTTATTCCTTATAGGAACCTTGTAATTGTATTGCTATTATAAAGGACACCTTAAAATTTTAACTTTCTGTTTTGGCTGATATACAGAAAGGCAACTGATTTTTGTATAATCAGCTTATATTCAGCAACCTTGAGGAACTCTTAAAATGAGTTTCCTTCCTGATAGTCCACTTTCTCCTACATTAAGGAGCTGACTGGGAATTCTAGGGTGTGAAAACTGTCAGGTTTCATTCAGAATGTGAGAGTGAGTTGGAAAGAAGGCAAACAGGTAGGGTCACCCCATTCCCTCCTGACCCTGGCAATGGTGAAACTTGGAGGGCTTTTCCCTTAAATAGTATCTATCCCAGTGGAGGAGACCTTGTCTCTCTGATGTGGAATGCTGCAGCCTTACAGAGAAGATTGTCTTCAGTCTGGGAGCTGGTTCCTTCTAAGCCTTTGGGTTTTAACTCTTACCTCTTCACTGACTGCCCTATTTAAATCACCCGCCAACCCTCACCTGTGCCTGCCCTTATCCCCTATTACAGAATACTGTTCTTGTCCTTTACAGCAATGATCACATTTTATGAATTTATTTGTTTGGTAATATCCTTGTTTACTGTCTGTTCTTCCTATCCATTGCAAGCTTCATAAGGTCAGGGACCAGGTCTATTTTGTTCATCTTTTTCCTGGTCCCTGCCATTTAGTTCAATAAATGTTTGTAGACTGAACAAAGGAGTTAGATGTCAAATATCTGCTTCAATTTTTAATGTTAACAATCCACTTGTCTCATCATTTAAAATATACCTTACTTATGCAATCTGATTTTATCTTCATAATTGCCTTTAAAATAGGGATGCTAGTCCCCATTTGGCAAATAAGGCACAGGGAAATCAAATCATATGCTCCAAATTAATATCTAGAAATTAGTAGAGTTGAAAACGGAACCCAAATCATCTAACTCAACACCGGATTAAAAAAACTATAACAAAAATAAGACAGAAAGAACAGAGGGAATGAAGGATGGAAAGAAAAAAGGAGAGAGGGAAAAAGGAAGGTGGAAAGTAAGGGAGGGAATATTCATTTATGAACTTTCCACATCAAGGGTATACCACATCATTTATCCTTCTAAAAACTCCGTAAGTTTCATACTTTCCCATTAGGAAACCTCATACTCTCCAGACATTTCAGGCCAGCAAACAGATTAAGAATACTCTCGTACAACATTGTTATAGAGGAGTCATACAGAGTGAGAAATAAAGGAGTATGCAGTTATAGAATAAGTCTCTTTTTCTCAGCTACATTTCACAACATAAAACTAGATGGTAAAGCCAGGTCACCTAATGGGGTCTGATAATTGTAAGGTTTACTCACAGCATGATTTAAGTTTCAATTTCAAGTTCCAATTCGTTCTCTCATAATTTTTCTGCTTTAGTCAACATTACACAAGATGTTGGCTCTCTTACCATTTAAAAGCTACATGAGAATATCTTGCCAGTTTTACTATAGGTATGAATGTAAAAATAGTTTCTTTCTAGTAGAATCATAATTAAAAAAAAGAAAACTGCACTCAAGTTTTTATTTTAATCAATGATCCTACATCTCCTTTATTTTTCTTATCCCTAAATCTGATGGTGAAATAAATGGTCATTTCTATTATTTTGATCAGCTGACTTCACACTGCGAAGTTACAAGAAGGAAAGGAATCACCTACGGCTATCAGTCTCTATGTAATAAAAAAAAAAAAAGAGTACCAGTCCTTACGTTAACAATACTATTTTTGTGATTTGGAGGGGAAAAAACACTTTGCTGCCAAAGGGTAATCCACATAGAAGAGCTGATTGCTAGGTGACACACTGACAGAGTGAGACTTTATTATGGAACCTATTGACCTGAGAACTCTACATCACTATAAAGTACAGCCACTCACATCTTCCTGAACTCAAACAGAGTAACATGATATAGTATTTATGAATTCTGTCTCTTCCAGGAGGGCATAACAATACATACTTAATCCCAAATCAGGGACAGATAGTGATGTTCTGGTGCTTAGAGATCACACCCTCAGGACTCCAACATACCCATTACTGAGACATCATATTCTATCAGCAACGTTGCTTCTTGTCCACATTGTTTAAGAATACTCATGGCTTCAGCATGCGTGGTTCCAAGAAGCCGAATTCCATCCACACTGAGCAACCTGTCACCAGGTTTGATCGTGCCCTCTCTGAAGGGAGAATAAAGGAATAGTCTTTATTAATTTACCACAAAGGGGCTTAGTATTAATAGTCACTTAGCCAAATTCGTTCTGTTACACATATTCTGCCATCCATCCCATCTGCAATCTTTTAAAGCATCAAGTGTGACAGTAAGAGTATAAAGAAGTAACCCTGAATAGAAAATTGCTGTAATATAAAAATCAGTATTGAGAAAATAACTACACATTAGCAAAAAACCTAGTTACCCACAGGTAATTCTTGAAGCACAAAAGTAAGAAGGGCATATTTTCCCTTTTCTACGTTTTTGCCTGAATGTCTAAAATGGATTCATTGGAGGCCAGAAAATACTATTCACCTATTTTCCCAAAGTCAGGTAAACAGAAAAGCCAGGGAATTTCATTCAAATTATTACCAGTGAATCCAAGCAGGATAGGAATTGCTGGTGAGAAATTTCCTTTGTCTATAAATTTCCCTACTGATCTATAAGGCCATTTGGCAATCATGAAATTGAGTCAACCTCACATTCCCTGGAAGAGGAAGGCAAATGCTATTCTCCCTGCTGTGACCACAGACACTCAAGGCGTTGAGAGATGACTCAGTGACACCACGAAAGTACAGCCAGGATGGCCCCCAGATAACCCTGCCTCAGGGAGGGGCACAAAAATGAGAAAATCAAATGGTGGAATTACATGTTGAGGATTTGGAAAGAATAATAATGACCTTTGAAATAAACATCTTTCACCTAGTTCACTCTCTAAGTCCTTTGGCTCCAATTTTTTTCTTAAATTCTCAGATTTCTTTGAGTTCTAAATTAATTTGGTAATACAAGTACACCACTCACAAGCTTGTAGCCTATGTTTTGACATTTCTGTCAACTCCAACTCTAAATGTTAATAAGAAATGAAAACATTCTAATTTGCTTCAGGAAGAGTGATTCACTAGAGACACATGGAAAGGGAAAAGGGGAAACTCGTGGACATTTTGTTACCCACTGCAAATGCAAATACACGTCAGCACAAGTAAGACACCAGTGTTTTCCTATTTTCTAATTTTATATGAAATATCACCTTTCTTAAAAGTGAGCTAATCATATGAGCTTCAAAGGAAAAGAAACCTGAATTCCTCCCACAGTTCTTTCACTTACTCACTGCCATACTGGGCAGTTTTGTCATCTGTAAATGTGGATACAAAGACCTCATTTAGAGGGTGGGTTGTAAGGATAAAATAAGATAATGTCCGCCAAGCCCTCAGAACAGTCCCTAGCACATAGTAAATGCTTAATAAATAATGGTCATAAATGGTTAATTAATGGTTATTAATGGTTAATAATATTTATTAATAATAAATAATATTGTTATCTTTATCTCTTAACAAAGGTTTTTAAGTTTATCCTGGTCTCAAACAGAGAGACAGGAGGAATCAGTACATTTTCCTCCTCCCCTTCAACAGTCTCTAATGGCAGCAGTTGTGTTCCCCCATCATTATGGAGTCAACTTTTGCTGTGGGAAACTAATACAGAGGTGAGTATCTCCTGAGACACTTAAGTTGTGAGCTTACTTGGGGCCCTACAAGGCTTACAATAGGAAAGTTGAAGGCATTTGCCCTTCACATGTTCAAATTAGCAAGGAAGAGAAATGCAAAGAAAACTCTAGAGACTAATGAAATGTCTTCCATTTTACTAAAAGTCACTTCCATTCTGACCTACATAGTCACTATCAAAAGATAACACTAATAGTAAGAATGTTGAGAATGGTAAGAATCTCACCACCACCACCTATCTGTCCAGGCTGGGAGATTAGTAACAGGAGAAGATGCATTTCCAGCACCTGCCTAAAAGAGCCAGCTGAGTTCTGTAAGTGTCTCCCCTGTGCCAGGCCCCTGCAAGGCATTATATATCTCCAACCTTTGATAAAACTGAACAGCTCTGAAAAGTAGATATTAGTATCTACATTTCCAGTGGTGGTGGAAATTGAGCTCAGTATTAAGTCACTTGATAAACATATAGTATAGTAAGTATAGACTCTAGAGGCAAACCTTATTTTTTCTGATTCCATAGCTCAGACTCTCAGTTTTCACATTGTAACATGTTTGCTTAATATCTACATTTTACTGTAAAATTTCTAATATATCAACTTCTATGTCAAAGTCCCCAGCTTTATTTGTTTTATTTTGGATAGTGACACAGAAAGATAAAGTTTACCTGTCAGCAGGTCCTCCAGGACGAACACATGTTATCACAACTGGACGAGATTTATTTCTATCATCATGTGCTCCCCCTAGCAAAGAAAAGGAATAGAGCTTAAAAATGCTTTCATTGTTGACATTTAAAAAAATCACCTGCAAGATTTCAGCTGAGAAATGTCCTACTTCATGTACGGAGGAAAATATGTAAAATTATCCTTGAGGCATCCAAAAGGCTTAAAGGTCTTGCTCATTTTATAAAGAATATATTTTTGAAGTCACCATTTCTCCATCTTTCAATAAATACATGGCTGTAACCAGGTAATATATAAAGTATTTAACAACTGGTGTGGCAAGAGGATCAACTGATTATATCAAGTACTGGCCCGATTTGAACAGCTGTCCGTTATACAGTACAGATGTGTATATCTGTGCCGATCAAACTGATCTAAAATACTGGTCAGTAGGTCTACAACCTAACATAAAGGAAACAAAAACCAAAGTAAAATAAAAATCCTAGTATTAAAAAAGAAAGCAAAAAAAAAAAAAAAAAATTCAAGTGACCAAGTGGCTTTCCTTAAAAGTGAGGTGTTCTAAAATTTGGGGCAAATTTTTCAGACTGTGTCAAACCAGCTGCAATCCTTGAATTGGAATTTTAATTTTCTGTTAGAAAAAATTCTCCACAAGAATTCATGGAAACATAGATATTTCAAGATGGAAGGTAATTTATTGTAAATTCTCTTTTTAATCCATAATCCTTTTGTACAGTTTCCTTAATCTGTGCTCCCCCAGCGTCTGCATGAAATGCACGGGGGCTGGCCTGCTTACTAGATGTGAGGCTGCTCACTCCACATTTGGACACCAAGGAGTGTTAGAAAGTTCTTCCTAATATTTAACTGACATCTCTCCTCCTTCAACTTTCATTCACTGGTCTTTGTTCTGTGATATGGAGCAGTAAAATAAAAATGTATGCTCTCTTCTACAAAAATGTTTTCTGAAAGTTGAAAACAGAGATTATACGCTGGCTAAATCCCACCTTCTTAATGTTAAAAAATGCCAATTTCCTTATCTATTCTTTATGTGACCTGGTTTCTTTGCATATCACCATCCTGTCTGTCCATCTGGGAGTTTTCTAGTTTGCCAATATCTGATAAATATGAAGCTATTGTCAACTATTTCTCCCTTAATGTTTGCGTGCTAGAACAGATGGACATTTCCTAAACCTGGCATAGGCCAAAAGGTCGCCTTACAGAAAATAGCCTAAGAGAAAAATTAAAAGGCATTTGCAGTTCCTTAGGAAGGCAAATGCTTCTTTTGTGCTCACTTCTATGACAAGTGATTTGTTTAGTGTGATTGATTGGTAAAAGCTCTCGTTCAGCATTTTATCAGTATTTTATTCTTTCATTGTGTTTAGCTTCTTTAGAAATTCCTCTTTGAAATAAGAAATTCACCACTTTCTCAGAAAAAAATTTTAAAATGAAAATTTTAAATGTTACCACAAATGCTTACCCATATTTATATAAATACTGTTACATAATTTCTCTTTTGCAAGGTGATCATAAAGAATAGGTTTGCTTTTCCCTAAAGGAAAATCGATTGAGAAAAGGATGAGGGCCAAAGATAGCAAGAAATCATTCCATAATTTTGGCTTGTATTTACAAATTTCAAAATGTAACATTGAATGCCTGTTAAAGTGTGAGATAGTTGTATATTTCTTGATATGTGGCATTTTACTGTGATTTGTAATGAACGAAGTTTCCTGTGTGACTCACTTAGGTTCTAGAAGTTTGCAGCAGCAAGGCAAAACAGGAACCACTCAGAGACCAGTGATATTCTCAATCCTGGTGTACATTAGTATCAACTGGGATGCTTTTTGAAAATATCAATGCCAGAGACACAGTGCAGACCAAATCTGAATATCAAGCAGCATATGTTAAATGACTAGGCCCACCTACAGTTTTACATTTGACAATGACTAGAGAAGGTTTCCTTGTCTAAAGTGAAAAGCAACTTCATGGCAGAGTGCCTTTCCTATCAGCCCAACTCATCCCCTCTGGCTTGCTTGCATTAACTGAAATTTAACACTCCAAGGTTTAGGCCAGAACATCATTTTTACTCTATGGATGCAAGGTTCTATTGTTTATGGAATAAAGGTTTTAGAACTTGTGACTTATAGCATTAGAAATATAATTCCGTTCATCAGCTAAAATCTTAATGTTGCAAGTTCCATTCTAATAGGTTAAGAAGAACTTCACCCATACTAAATAGATATCCTCCACCTGCAGTAACTTCTCCTCTTTCCTGACTGTTCTGGTATTTTCTACTGATCTAAGTTTAGCTCAACTCCCATCTATGCCAAAACATCTTATCTGCCATACTAATATTTACTCACAGCACTTTCTCATTCTGATTAACCAGTGATTCTTAAGTGATGGGTAGTGACCACCTTTTGAACAGGGAAAATCCTCCAGATGGACCTCAAACTAATCTAAAAATAGAAATTCTTTATTTGATTCTCATTGAGAAATTATGCAAAACTCCAAAAACGTTTATGTTCAATTAACATATTAAGGGAGTTATTAAGGCCTATCAAAATGTGGTACTCATAAACCAATACTGGCTTATTGTAACTAAGTTTTTAAAAATCAGTATAATACTACGAAGCCTGATGTCCACACAAATCTAGGCAACATTCAATCATTCACTTATTAAGTGCCTCCACATACCAGGCAGTGTTCTAAGCTCATATTATAAAACTCCTGGGCATACACACAGATAATTGAAATTCCTGCAAACTGTGGGAAGGGTGTTTTACTAACATCACATCATCAGTTGTCTTGAGGTGGTTGCACATTTCAAGTGCTTCTATTCTGTTTATTTCTTAATAATACATTACTCTTGGTTTAGCTCTTTTATTAGTAATTTGATTCATTATTGACTAACCATACAGTCACTATCAATGAATATCTGCAACAGCAGTATTTTTTGGCATAGTGTTTCAATAATTAGGCTTGTATGCATGTGATTGAAGAACCTTCTCATTCATATCTGTATTGCAAAACAGATTTGTATATATCACCCTTTAGCCAAAAATTACTCGTATAGTGACTTTTCACTATATTCATCCGGTTATTTTAAACAGAAATTTAGGAATGGTTAGGGTAAATGATCTTGGGCTCTGTTCCTCCACCTGAAAATAGTCCTTGGTCATAAAAATGTGATAACTACAAGTCTAAACCTCTCAATGAGTTCCTAGTTCCTCATTCTCTCTACTACTCACTTGAGCACTCTATCAACTTATGTCTTAAATTCACTGGACTGTAATTCCCTGTAGACTGGGGTCTTGTCTTATGACTCTATAGTACTTCCCTCCATGCTGACATGTTGACATGTGCTTAATAAACATTTGACTGATTGATTTGCTAAGTGACTGGGATAAAATGAAAGCTACTATTTAAAACTCAATCACTTAAGACAAATCTGTACAAGTATCCACATCTCTTTTATTCTTTCATGCATATTTATTAAGATGTTTAATTTTAATTAATGTTTTAACAATTTTGGTAGAATTTTTACTCTGTTGAAGTACAAAATGTTATACGTGAAGACAAAAACAATCAAGAAATGTGAACTGTTAAAATATTCCTGATAGTGGAAAACCAAATACTACATGTTCTTGCTTATAAGTGGGTGCTAAGCATTGAGTACACATGGACACAAAGAAGGGAACAACAGACACTGGGGCCTATTTGAGGGTGGCAGGTGAGAGGAGGATGAGGATTGAAAAACTACTGATTGAGTATGATGATGATTACTTGGATGACAAAATTATCTGTACCCCAAGCCCCCATGACATGCAATTCCCCCATGTAACAAATCTGCACATGTACCCCTTGAACCCAAGATAAAAGTTGGAAAGAAAAAAAAACCCTGATGTTTATATAGCTTCCTATTGAATGTAGGCATAGTCTTTATGGAATAAAATTACTAATAAGAAAACATAATGCAAGATAGAATTATACTTTAGAATTAGTAGTTTAATGACAAGTTGGAGTCACCTGAAATTGTTATGATGAATGCCATATTATAATATGATGACTTGAGCTGAAGCACATAGATACCCAAGAGATTAGAATCTTCGATCCATTTTTAGAAAGCTACAATAACCAAATGTGTTTCTGGAGAAATTTATTTAAATAAAGTCCCTTAATTCTGGTGTATTAAATCAAATCAAGGCATACTAATCAACATTTTTGATTCAGTGATACAGAAAAATATAAAAAGAAAGACAAAAGATATGTTGAAATGTATAGGATGACTGAATTGACAAGGTTTATAAACAGTGGCTTCTTGCTCTGTATTAATGAACCAAAAATAGAGCTACGTTTGGTTTCCATTTTTATGGCCATTCGTTGTTGTGTTTATTTAAAGAAGAGAAGATCTTTCTAACCCACAGAGTGAGAGAAAATCTTTATAACTTACACATCCAACAAAGGACTAATATCCAGAATCTACAGGGAACTCAAAGAAATTAGCAAGAAAAAAACCAAACAATTCCATCAAAAAGTGTACTAAGGACATGAATAGACAATTCTCAAAAGAAGATATACAAATGGTCAACAAACATATGAAAAAAATGCTCAGCATCACTAATGATCAGGGAAATGCAAATCAAAACCACAATGTGGTACCATCTTATTCCCACAAGAGTGGCCATAATTAAAACAAACAAACAAACAAACAAAAACACATAAGAAAACAGATGTTGACATGGATGCAGTGAAAAGGGAACACTTCTATACTACTGGAGGGAATGTAAACTAGTATGACCACTATGGAAAACAGTGTGGGGATCCTTAAAGAACAAAAAGTAGAACTATCATTTGATCCAGCAATTCTACAACTGGATATCTACCCAGAGGAAAAGAAGTCATTACATAAAAGAGATACTAGCACATGCATATTTATAGCAGCACGATTTGCAATTGCAAAAATATGGAACCAGCCCAAATACCCATCAATCAACTAGTGGATAAAGAAACTGTGGTATACATATACAATAGAATACTATTCAGCCATAAAAAGGAATGAATTGATGGAATTTGCAGCAACCTGGATGGAATTGGAGACCATTATTTCAAGTGAAGTAACTCAGGAATGGAAAACCAAACATCATATGTTCTCATTCATAAGTAGGAGTTAAGCTATGAGGATGCAAAGGCATAAGAATGATACAAGGGACTTTTAGGACTTGGGGAAAAGTGGGAAGGAAGTGAGGAATAAAAGACTACAAATTGGGTTCAGTGTATGCTGCTCGAGTGGTGGGCGCACCAAAATCTCACAAATCACCACTAAAGAACTTATGCATGTAACCAAATACCCAAATACCACCTGTTCCCTGAAAACCTATGGAAATAATTTTTTAAGTAGATTTTTCTAACCAACACCTACCTCGTATTACAAAACCAAAGGTATTGCCTTCTTTATGTAATGTGACCTCCACGGTTCGGAAAATAACACTTGATCCTTGCACAGCTGAATAAAGGAAAGAGAGAAGGAAATATAACTTGTAAGTCATCATAACATTTCTAAATCATTCAATGTGGCATAAAATATTACAGATCCCTGTTGCAAATAAGTTTTGAGTAATAAGCAACAGTCCCTTTTCAAAGAAAATGTTTAAAAAACTGTAATGATGTAAAAATATCATAAAACAGTCTTTTGTATAAGTGACTCATATAGATACAAGTGTAACCAAAATCATAGCTAGTTCATTTCCTTCTATATAGTTAGTTTCTAGATAACAGGGTGATATTTACATTGTTTAAACTCTACCTAACAAGAGAGACAGTATTTATACAAGTAGAATTGTTTTCCTTTTGTAAAATGCAAAAACAATATTTTGTAACACTTGTAAAATAACTTCTGTATTTATTTTAATTTTGCAGCTGGCACAGGAAGAAAAATTACCATTCTCAGATTGCTATCAATAACTAGGCTGATGCTAATAGATGTTCTGACACCTAAATAGCTATTAAACTAAGACACAGCAACCCAGATGAAACTTAGAGGGCAAAAGAAATTCTAAGTATATTCAGAATACTACTACTATCTAAGAAACTACAGATTGACTTAATTTTACTTGATACATTATGCTTATGTTGTGTTTGCGTGATTATCGCTTTCATTTAACAAAATGGAATTGTATTGTCAAGCTGCAATCTCTAGTCACATTACATACATGTATGACAGTATAAGGTATATGAAGGTATAGTTACTAAAATATTCTATAAGATTGCTTTTGAGAACCTGTTGAGTCATGCTGATTGTACTATACACTATTTCTGCATTTTAAAAAACCCATAAAACTTCTACAAATTGGTATTTTATCATTATGCACAGAGGGATGTTTTTATTCATAGAGACTTGTAATGTGTAGGAGAATTTTAGATCTTTATTTTGAATTTGTATCTACTTAATGCCATGTTCATTATCAAGTAACACATTGTTTTTACATTCCTACTAGATCCTGAAGGGTTTATTAGATAAAACTATCAGCAAGAAATATATAGGCAGGCCAGGCATGGTGGCTCACGTCTGTAATCACAGCACTTTGGGAGGCCAAGGCAGGTAGGTCACAAGGTCAAGAATTCAAGGCCAGCCTGGCTAAGATGGTGAAACCACGTCTCTACTAAAAATACAAAAATCAGCTGGGCGTGGTGGCAGACACCTGTAATCCCAGCTACTTTGGAGGCCGAGGCAGGAGAATCACTTGAACCTGCGGGGGCGGAGACTGCGGTGAGCCGAGATCGTGCCACTGCACTCCAGCCTGGGTGACAGAGTGAGACTCTGTCTCAAAAAAAAAAAAAATATATATATATATATATATACACACACACACACACACACACACATATATATACACACACACACAGAGACAGAATCCAAAGGCATTGTTTAAAACAACTTTTCCTACAGAAATAGCAAGTAGTTTTAGGCTTTAATTACAATTATTTTTAATTATCAGAAATTCTGAACCCTCAAGGGAATAAACATGATTAAGAAAAGTACACATTTAAATTCATAAAACTGTCCACTATCTGGCTGGGACATAAAGTACAATAAAAATTTGGATCGGCTGGAAAACAACATAAACCTACAGTTGAAAAATGTTTTGGTATACTGCTGATTTAATTAAATGTCATACTCTTGCTATCAGGGGAATTTCAGCTTAGACTAATCAACTAGGAACAGTACTCACAAACAGATGAAAGTGTTGAGGTACAGTTTTAATTAAACAAAAAAAATTGAGTTCATTCCAAATGTTTTCTTATTTCCATGGCTCAACAAGCCACTTGAAGAAATTGGTTAAGAACATAATTTTTTTTTGTTCTCTAGGTAAGTGAGGAAAGGAAAGGATATGGAAAGAAATAATTAATAAGAATTTACTGTGTGCTCAGAACTCTGCAAAAATGGTTTATACAAATTATTTCATTTACTCAGTAAATCAGCTTTCAATGATATACAACTGAATTCTAATTCTGGGCCACCTGTCCTTGTTGGCTGCATATCTGTTATGGGAATGCAAAGTACTGCAATTTTGATTTTGCTTTAGCTAAATCTTGCTGACTACAAAATCTTACAATCAAATTTGAAGTCAGTATAAAGGCTCTGTATTTTCTACAGCTTTAGATTATCTACACTATTGTTCTCCATCATTTACAAAGATAAATTTGAATGTTGACTGCATTTTAATACAATTAATGAAATAGATTTGGTCTTTATCGTTTTTATTTGCATGGCTGGCTCTTCGTGATTGGGTTTTCATGTGCAGTACCAGACATCCTGCATTGCCATGTAAATTTTACTAATGACTCATGTGTACACAAAGTTCCAATTAAGGGGCTTACCCAATGGATCAAAGGGTAGGTAGAAACCAAGTTCACAATGTAAACATTCCCCTCGGTCTGTCAGTTGTGCTGTTGTCCCTTCTTTCTATATGTGGATACACATCTACTTCCATACAGTTATTTTCCTATGGTAGATGAGGTTTTTGAAATTACAAACTCCTTCCCTGCCTCTCTATTCCCTGTCTCAATAGGAGAATAGGAGTTGTGAACGTTCCTACCTCATTATGCTGCACTTGCCCATGTGACTTACTTTTGCCACTAGGCTGTTAAGAGACACAAGCAGAGGCTGGAATTGCACTTACATGGCTGTGCTTGCCCTGTTTTCCCTCTGCCATTGCCCCAGGAAGAGCCTCCTCCAGGTAGTTGCTGCTCCCTCAGACTGAATCCCAGAGTAAATCACATGGAGAAGACCTGAGATTATCTTTCTCCCTCTCTCCTCCTCCTCACCACCACCACCACCACCACCACCATCTGTCTATTTCAGAACTGAGAAGTCAGAGGACTGTCACAGGGGCATGCTTTAACACTTTAACACATTTATTTGAGTTTAAAATGACTCCTTATGATAGGAAGCTCATCTGAGTTAGCTAACGGATAAACAGTGAAGACTGCCTTTGCCAATTAGATTATAAGGCAGACTGTTTTCCATTAAATGCCCATGAGGTAAATCTGTAGCTCCAAGGTTTACATGAAAACAGAATTTAAAGACATATAAAACAAGTAATATGCTAGGAATTGCATCCTTTCTAACTATTTATGCTTATGATAATTTTAGGTGTTAACTAAAAATGGATGAGAATTATGTAACATTTCAAAATTCTTTAAGAGTTAAGTGACCAAAAAATTTGAAGGCGCCGCTCTAGACCAACTTTTTATTTTTAGTATTTATTTATTTTTAATTGAGACAGGGTCTTTCTGTGTTGCCCAGGGTGGTCCTGAACTCCTGGGCTCAAGGGATCCTCCTCCATCTGCCTCTCAAAATGCTAGGTAGGATTACAGGTGTAAGCCACCACACCCAGCCTAGACCAACTTTTAATACATATATATCTAAGATACAGGTTGGTAATAGTCTCTCTACAGTCTCGAAGGATCACATAATTTTAAAGTCAGAAAGAGCTTTAGAGCTTATGTAGACCAATCATTTTATTTTCATAAAGAAACTGAATCTCAGAAAGGGCCAAGGTCAAACCAGTTTTCTTCTATCAGATTACACACACACACACACACACACACACACACACACTCTTTGTCTCTCTCTGTCTCTCTCTCACACACACACTCTCTCTCTCTCTCTCTGTCTCTCCTGGTTCCTTCTGAACTCTGTGATTGGCTGAGCCTCAAACTGCTATGATCCTGAGAGAGCTACCAGTCTTGGCCTTGGGTGGCTTGTCTTTTAGCAGTCAGTTCTCCTTACGGACCTTCAGCTGTGGATGGCCTGTTTCTGCTCTAGCAGTCCCAGCTAAGTGAAAGGGGAACTAATTAATCCCTTCAACCACTCTGAACTCAAGTATCTTATGACTTTCTTCAAACATAATAGAAAGAGACAGAGATTATTCTTGGAGAGTAGACCCCTTTTGATTTCCATCAAAACAATTCACACTTCTGTGTTTAAACTTATTTCCCCCCTTTTCCATCAGCTTTATTGTATGAGAGAGAAAAAGATGGTACTGCGTAATCACCAAGTCACGATAGGTTTTAACTTCTAAACATTTCTGATATCCATCTTCTCCGCTAACTCTACTAATGCTATGTTTATTTAGGATCTCACTTCTCTTTTGGAAAATCGTAACCACCTTTGGGCTTGTAGCCTCTGGTCTTTTCTCTATTTGGCCTCCTACAATGATAAATCTAAACACTCAGATCTTATGATGCCATTCCCCTTTAAGAGCTCCTCATGGCCCACTGGATGCCAAGCTCCATCAATATGGCTTATAAGGCCCTCGTTTGGTCCTTGTGTGCCTCATTGGCCTCATCTATCTCCAAGCCCTCTCTTTCTTTTCTTTCTTTCGTCCTCCTTCTTCTTCTTCTTTTTTTTTTTTGAGATGGAGTCTTGCTCTGTTGCCCAGGCTGGAGTACAGTGGCACAATCTTGGCTCACCGCAACCTCCACCTCCCAGATTCAAGCAATTCTCCTACCTGAGCCTCTCAAATAGCTGGGATTACTGGCACCCACCACCACGCCTGGCTAATTTTTGTATTTTTAGTAGAGATGGGGTTTCTCCATGTTAGCTAGGCTGGTCTTGTACTCCTGACCTCAAGTGATCCACCCGCCTTGGCCTCCCAAAATGCTAGGATTACAGGTGTCAGCGACCACACCCAGCCCCCTGTCTGTCTTTCTCTGTCTGTCTGTAGTTTAACCTGTGCACTGGGCTGTCATCTTCCCTTCTTGCTGCACCCTTTGTCTGAAATATTCCTCTTTCCACCTGGCTGGCACGACCTTGTTTAAGTCTTCCTAGAAACCCCTAGTTCTGAATCACCCATAACACTGGACAAATCTTCTATTGGCCTTTGCCTAAAAACTACACTTAGAGTTTATTTTAGGAAGGGGTTGCCTTTTATTGATAGGCCCAGAGGAATATAAATGTATAATCAAAGAGCATTAGAGCTAGATATCTGGTTTCTCTTATGTCTTTAGCAACGGTTTGAGAGAGAGATTTCAAAGCAAACTGACTCATGTAAAGTTCAAAAAAACACAGTATAATAATGATATTATTATATACCATTTCAGTATAATAATGGTAATAATGGCTAATATTATTAGTTACTTACAAAGTGTTTGAAATGGCCCCAACAATGATTATGTGATTATAACATTGAATCATTACAAAAATCCTGCAACTACTATAGCTATTTTATAGATTAGAAACCGAAGGCTGAGAGAATTTAAATAACATGCCCAAGGTCACAAAGACAGAAATGAGCAAAGCTGCCATTTAACTACTGACACAGTCCAAGCCTTTACACTCTATTTTATTGCCTAGCCTTGCTGAAAATGAAAAAATGTTGTAGCAAGGTTTGTGAACATGGTCTTAAATTGATTTTGTTGCAAAATGACTACTAAATCTTTGGTGTTAGATTTTATGTGAAGAATACGAACTTGTGACTGATTATGCACATGCTTCCTGAGTCCTCTAATTTGGTCCTCAAGCTTCGAACACCGTCTGTATTCTCATTACTCTCAAATGTATATTTAGAGTCCAGATCTTTCTCTCAAACTCCAAATCATATCTTCAGGTCTCGACATTTCCTCTTGCATGTCAAATAGGCACCTCAAATGTAGTATTTCAAGCAATGAACTGCTGATCCTTCCCTCACAAATCAGCTCTACCCACATTCTTATTCACTCCTGTTAATAGATACTCCGTCCTTCCAGCTGCTCATGCTCAAAACCTTGGGGTTAACTTTGACTCCTCTTTTTCTGCACAACTCACATCAAATCCATTAGGCAATCCTGTAGGCTCTCCCTCCAAAATAGATCTGGAATCTGACTGCTTTTCACTGTCTCCATCGCCACCTCTCACATGGATCACTGTAACTGCCCTCTAGCTCATCTCCCAGCTTCTACCCTGGTCTCTTATAGTCTATTGTCAACACAGTATCCAGAGAGCCTCTGAAAACATAAATCACATCATGTCACTCCTCTGCCCCAAACCATATAGTGACTTCTTGTATCATTCAGAGAAAAACTTAACGTCCTCCCAGTGACCTACAAGGATGCCCCACCCCCTTACATTTCTGACCCCACTTCCTAATTCTCTTACTGCTCATTCTGCTACAGCCACACTGTCCTCCTTAATGTTTCTGTAACAACACTAAGTATATTCCCACCTTTTGGTCTTAGCAATGACTGTTCAATCTTCCTGGAACTCTGTTCCCCCAGAAATCCATACAACTAACTCCCTTACCTCCTTCACAAGTCATTGACTAATCTCACATTCTCAGTGATGCTTGTCCTAATCACCCTATTTGCAATTGCATTCCCACCCTGATCCCGGCGCTCCCAATCCCTCTCCTTGCACTGCTTTTTCCCATAGGATTCATAGTATTCATACTATATAATTTACTTATTTATTATGGTTTTATTTTGTTACCTGTCTTTTGCTATAATATAAACTCTACTCATGTCCCCCAGGCTCCTAGTACGTAGTGGTGGCTGGAACATAGTAAATGCTCAATAAGTCATTGCTGAACAAATGAATTCTACCAACTCTTCATAATCAACCTGAGTTCTCAATAGTATGGAAGAGCAAAAAGCTATCTCAGGGTAGCATCCATGTTCATAGCTAATAATAGGAGAGGTGGTGCCAGAACAGCATAAGCGCAGGGCAGCAATCACACATCAGTATACCTCACAATGAATACGCATATGGACTTTGGAGGCAGGCAGCCCGGATTCAGATATTGAGTCCAGGCTTTGTAAAATGAGAAAAAAATGCCTATCTTGTAGTGCTGATGGCCTTTTTATTGAAAACTTTGATAGTGCCAGGCACTATTCTAAATGTTTTCCAAATACTAATTCAGTTAATCCTCATAACAAATCTATGAGTAGGAACTAATAATATTCCCATTTTACAGATGTGGAAACTAAGACATAGAAAGCATAAGTAACTTTCTCAAAGGCATGTGGCTAGTAAAATGTGGAGCTGGGATTTGAACTTGTCTATTTGATAGTAAAGTTCATCTCTGCTATGCGGACACTCCTTGTGGAAAGCATTAAATAATTCAATGCAAGTCGAGTTCTTTATAATGCCAGACATTTGGTACAATCAAAATCTGTTGGCTACTGCTGTTGTAATTACTATTATTACTACTTGACAATATGTGTTCTGAAGCTATTTTCATGCTTCAGAAATGGATATATCATATATATATATACACACATATATATACCTACTGTGTACCCACAAAAATTAAAAATTAAAAAAGAAATGAATGTATCCATAAAGAAACAATATAAAACATACTAAATACACTTTTCCTAAACCTAGTCACTGAGTACAAAGCCTGGATAGTACTTATTGCACAGAACTTACACACATGTTGAATTAAAATGGCTTAAGTGGCAAATAGAACACGGGCCCTTCATAATTTCATTGTTAGTGAAGACTTTGTTAATTATTCCTGAGTAGGTTGTAAGTTTTCCAATTCAAATAATTTTTAAATATTAAGAAAGTTGGCTTTGCCATTCCTGTAATGAGATATTGATGGCAAAGGGAAAAAATTAAGAAGCTGATTTTGCCTAGGAAAAACTGTGGTGCAGCTGTTCTTCCTCTGGGTTATGATTATAGCAATTCCTCCTTATCTGCAGTTTTTATTTTCTGTGGTTTCAGTTACCCCCAATTAACTGCAGTCTGAAAATATTAAGTAGACAATTCCAGAAATAAATCATTCCTAAGTTTTAAATTGTGTGCTGTTAGGAGTACACAATTGATACTCTCACTGTGAGATGATAATCTCACACTGTCTGCTCTATCCATCTGGATGTGTCTGGCACATTCACGCTGTTTACACTACCTGCCTTAGTCACTTTGCAGCCACGGCCATCTTTGGTATCAGATTGGCTGTTATGTTCTTGCTGTACTTTTTTTTTTTTTTTTCGAGACAGGGTTCTTGCTCTGTCACCTAGGCTGGAGTGCCATGACACAATCATAGCTCACTGCAGTCTCAACCTTTTGGGCTCAAGGGATCCTTCTGCCTCAGCCTCCCAAGTAGCTGGGACTACAGGCATATGCCACCATGCCTGACTAATCTTTTCTTTTTTTGGTAGAAACAAGGTCTCATTTTGTTGCCCAGGCTGGTCTTGAACTCCTGGCTTCAAGTGATCCTCCCGCCTCAGCTTTCCAAAGTGCTGGGATTACAGGCATACGCCACCACACCTAGCCCTTGCAGTATGTGTGTTCAAGGAACCCTTATTTTATTTAATAATGGCTGAAAGCACAAGAGTAGTGAGATTGGCATATTGATATAATTGTTTCACTTTATTAATGTTGTGTGTGTGTGTTTTTTGAGACAGGGACTTGCTATGTCCCCCAGGCTGGATGGCAGTGGCGCAATCATGTCTCACTGTAGCCTCAACATCTTGGGCTCAAGTGATGCTCCTCCTAACGCTCAAGTAGCCTTGAGTAACTGGTACTACAGGTGTGTACCACCACGCCCAGCTAATTTTTCTATTTTTTGTAGAGGTGGGGCTTTGCCATGTTGCCCAGGCTAGTCTTGAACTGCTGGACTCAAGCAATCCTCCTGCCTCGGCCTCCCAAAGTGCTGGAATTACAGACGTCAGCCACTGCTCCCAGTCAGTTATTGTTGTTAATGTCTTACTGTGCCTAATTTATCCATTAAACTTTATTGTAAGTATGTATGTACAGAAAAAAAAAAAAAAAACCCCGATGTATATAGGGTTTGGTATTATGAGAAGTTTTAGGCACCCACTGGGAGTCTTGGAATGTATCCCCTGTGGATAAGGGGGGGGCTACTGTACTTACAGACCGGCGGAAGCTCATACTCTACTTCAAGAACCACTCTTTCTCCCACATTCTTCAGCAAGCTGATGATCTCATCATGGCGGAATTTGGCCAGGTTGATTCCATTCACTGCTTTGATGTAGTCACCCACATCCAGCTGGTCACTTCTGCAAAATAGACAATGTTGTTTCAGCAGACTCACCCTCTCCACAGGCCAGTCTGACTATATTTCCACTTTCCCTTCATGAGTAAGCATGCAAGTGTAGGAGCAAGCCTAGAAGGCTGACAGCAGAAGTCCCTGCCTCCTAGGAGATGGTGGGTCCTTAAGGGTAAGAGTACAGCTGAAGTCAGAGGAGAACCAGGGATCTCTTTTACTCATGCAGCCTGTGATACCTTGGAAGTCCTGCTCTGAGTCTGCCACTATCTCTGATTTTTTCCTTTTCACCTCTTTTATTTTTAAAAGCACCATAAAACAAAATCAAGAGAAGCATTTTTTTTTTTTTTTTTTTTTTTTTTTAAGTTCTTTGCCCTAAACCAGTTGGTTCTCTGGGATGGGATCCAGATCCTAGATATAACACACATCTTTTTATTCTCAATCCCTCTCATTTTTGCTGCCTGTCTTTTGTACATTTCACAGCCTTCAATAACTTCACTGGGAGTTTATCCAGGACTAAGGAAAGGGTCAGCTTATTTTGTTATTTATTGCTTACAGCAGGATTGATAAGAAGAGTATTGGTGAAGGAGAAATCACAATGCAAATATTGGCTTTCAGTAACATTCTTGTCTCTCTATACCACCATAACAGAATATTGGCTGCTCTTGGACTTTAGTCAAACTCTGTTTCTAAACCAAGAGAAGGTAGCAAGATCAATAATAGGAGTTAAAATTCATGTCACTGATAAGGACCTTCAATAACATTTTCTCCCAAAATAGAAATAGCTAACGCATTTATTTTATATATAAATCCAGCTCCAATCATTCCTCCTTCAAAGAGCCTCCTAATCTGCCCCGGTCTGCAGTACGTGCATGGCCCTTACCTCACTTTCCTGACACTTATGTCAACTGAACCACCTAGTGCTCTGTAATAACTTCTGTACTGTTGCTTTTTGCTATCATGCAATGCCATTTTTGCTCCCAAATGTTTCATGATTTTTATGCCTTATCTCCACTAATAGATTGTGAACCCCTTTAGGGCAGAGATCTCATCTTTAATTATTTTGATTTACTACCTACAAAATGGTAGTGCCTTAAATAGTGACTATTTGGTGATTTTTAATACTCAATATAACTGGCACAGTAACACTTTTAATTACAGCATTAATACAACTGAAAATGCTACCCCTCTCCCCCATCACACTTGCCTTAAAGGAGAGATATAAAGAAGCTCTGGAGACTTATGAACCCCTAGCATCATGAACTGGCCATGATTCTTATAAAATAAAGGAGGTTTTTGGTGTGGAAAGATGCTTCTTAAAAGCCTAAAGAAAGCAGATTGAGGTGCTTGTGTCCACACCAGTCTCCTTTACAAACAATACCTTCTGATCATGGAGCAAGCCACTGGATTAAGTTTGTAAATTGTACAAACAGGTTGATCATTAAAAGTAATCACAGAAATCACCACTTCAGATGACATTTTATGAGGCAAGAACTCTAAGACTTAACCTGGAATTATGTGGATATGAATATTGGTGGCCCGAATTTAAGGTACTTTAGCTTCACTTTTATTTTATTTATGTATTTATGTATTTATTTATTTATTTAAGACGGAGTTTCGCTCCTGTTGTCCAGGCCAGAGTGCAATGGCACAGTCTTCTTTCACTGTAACCTCTGCCTCCTGGGTTCAAGTGATTCTTCTTCTTCAGCCTCCCAAGTAGCTGGGATTACAGGCATGTGCCACTACAGCTGGCTATTTTTTTATTTTTATTTTTACTAGAGATAGGTTTCGCCATGTTGGTCAAGCTGGTCTCGAACTCCTGACCTCACGTGATCCACCTGCCTTGGTCTCCCAAAGTGCTGGGATTACAGGCATGAGCCACTGCCCAGCTTGGCCTCACTTTTAATGAAACCTGATCTTCCACCCCCTTTTTCTGAGGCAGATTTAGAATGTGTCTCAAGGAAGTCCACCCCTACCCAGTATCCAGGACATTCTGCCTTTGGCAATAACGAGTGGAATTTGCAGTTATGGAAGGAAAGACAGGTGAGACCTCCTCCTCTAAGCCTTCTGTCCTTTCAGAAACCAACTCTTGAAAATCACACAGGTAGAAAAGGAGAGAGGATGTGGGATAAATAAAATTTTCACTGAAAACTCAGAGTTGGGTCTCCCACTCTTTCAAGGGTAGCCATGTCCCTCTCTGGCACTTTCCCCATACACATTATATGGGTCATCTGTTTCACATTTAGATGACTGGAGCATCTCATTCCTACTGCAGCCTGTCTGCTGTTCAGTGGCACATTTGCAGACTAGCTGCACATGGTCATTTTGAAATTAAAATCTTATGAGGGCCTGGCAGCTCCTGAGATGACACAAGAACCTCCCTGGTGACTGCAGCCTAGGCTAGAACAGCCACGCGGGCAGACCTGGGGAGCAGCTTCTGAAACGTGCCCCACTGTGCTTCTGCTGGCCTGTGCTGCCTGGCAGATGGAAGCTGTCATTTATTTATTAGTGACCACTTTTGATGGAGCTTTAATTTTTGAATTAATTACACCCTGTGTTCCTTTCAGTAGATTTCCCCAAGAGGCAGTTACCTAGCAGCAATTCCTCCTTGCCGCAGATTAGATACTCTTGGCTTGCCATCCTTATCAATTCCTCCCGATACCGTCAGACCCAGGGTAGTGCCTTCCTTCTTCATCAACTCGACGATTGTGGAGCCCTTGAATTCCTCTGTTAAAAGAAAAGCATTTGCCATATTAAAATGAGTAGAATTGCCAATGTCATTCTGTGTATGTTTAAGTGACTCCTCCCCAGAAGTTCTTTTCACTTTTTCTTTTATGAGAAAAGATATCTATGGCCTCCTTCCATTGTAATTTACAGAATATTTCATAAAGATGTGCATGCAGATAATGCTGAGGCAGACATCCTATTAGAGGCTATGAAAATGGGCACTGGTGGGGTATTCACTCCAGGCTGACAATAAATAGTACAAATTGTCTTATGTACAAATAATATTCGCCCTTTGTTTTCTGCCATTCTCGGGTGACTTTCTTTGGTTTCTCTCCTTGTAACTCCAGTGGGAACAATGAAAAGTTGTAAAGTAAGGAATTAGAACAGAATTTTCGATGATAATATGAACATATATAGCACAGTGGCAGACTCAAAGTTCATGGTATGTTTCAGGTTAGGAAGCCAACTGAAAGGAGAAAAGAGCTTTCTACAGGTTCTAGAAAAATATTGACTTTAGCTTCTTTGTCTTTCAAAAACAAAGTATGATGGCTTATGTAACACTCATATCATTCTTGCAGAATATGTCACAGTATGGCAAGGCAGGATTGATCCTCAGAATTTCCAGGTAACTGCCATAAATCTTTCATTCTCTACTTACAAAATTTTAAAATTTCATAGATCTTGTGGAGATAATGTCTACACAGCAAGACAGAACTCAAATCTTTTGATTTTAGTCAGAACAGAAGGTAAGAAAACTGTAAGAATATCCTCCCTTTCAAAAATAAAAATGAGTAGAGTCAATATTTACCTTCCAGAGGCTAATTAGGATAAATGCTGTTTTAAAATTCCCTGTGATGTTATTCCCCTATCTGCAAATATATTTTCTTGGTAGGGATGGGGAAATTGTCCAATTTTCCAACTTCTCTTAAATTAAGTTACACATTTCAGGGGTAATGAACTTCTAGAACATCAAAGATGCATATTAAAATGTAAAAGCAAACTCGCTCTTTCAAAGTGAAATTTAAAAAAAATTATTTGCACATCTTAACCCTTTCCCTAATAACAGTTAATTATAATGTTGAAAATATCTATGAATGTGTATCATGAAGGTTTTTAAATTGCTGCTGCTAGTATCTTATCCCACTAGCCAATGAAAAAATGAAATTACATTAGGTAAAGAAACAGTATCTCATCTGATCTAGTGAGGAGAACAGAGTACTTTGGGGAAGAAGGCTGCAGACAGCAGGCTACTTATTTCCTCAGCAGCCTACAGAATGTCCTTCAAGGCAGGGCTTTCAAGTTTGCCAGCTCCTGTGACTTTAACATTCCAGCATACCATCATTGGAATCCTGCCTTTTCATGGCAGTCTCATGACACTGTATACATAAGTCATTATTGTCTTTTAAAGTAGAAGACAAGAAGGAGTCTGAGTGTGTATGATGTCAGCTTCATCTACTACATTTGGTATGAAAGACCAAATAAAATTTGAAATTCAAGAATGAAAACTCTTGTCAAGTGCATGAAAGTACAGGACCTTTTACATCATTTACCGGAAGCATCTGTAACAAAATTCTATCACTATGTGCATTTCCCCTGCACTCCTTAAAACAAAACAAAGAAATCCCCAGAAATCTCATGGAAACATACATAGGTTCAACTGATATTGAAGACATCACCTTAATAAACAATCCCTCTAAACCCTTGTTGGCAGAAGGCTAGTTATAAATTTTTAAAATAAAGTTAATAATTAAACAAAATGACATAGTAGATGATGACCATTCATATTAAAGAGATATAATGTGCCCAACAATTTTGCCAACAGAAAGATTCTTTGCATCTTATTTAAATATGCAGTGATCCTATATATTTAAACATTTGATTATAGAACTTTACATGTAGAGTTGGAAGCATAGTTTTTTTAAGTGCCTATCTTAAAGGTCTATCCAATTTTCATGAAGAAGCAACTCTAAAATACTAATAGCAGGCATGTGAGAAGTAAGTTTCTATTCATAAAAATTTTCTTTCTACTCCAAGTTTTCAAGGACATGCTTCCTGCATAAAATAGGATGCACGGGTACAGCCTTATGGGAGGTGGACAATGTCATTTTCTCCAGAAGGAACCCAGGTGCTTCCCGAGCTTCTGGCTGAATCCTGAAAATCTAGAAAAGCTCAATTATTTTAGTTTAATTTCATCATTATTAAAATATAAATGCATCGATCTGGCTACTTTTAAAACTGATACTAGTCAATTACCTTGTCATTTAAAAACATTTCAAATGTTTTCCTAAGAGCTAATTTTAATAATGTGAAATTGAGAAAATATTCCTGTACCAGTTAATTGAGTAATTTGTGCATTCATTGATTCAAGCACATATTGAATGCCTACCCTGAGCCAGACAATAAAACTCGAAGATGGAAAAAGCAAAGGCCATTATCCTCAAGATGGCCACAGCCTAGTCAAAGAGGCAACATCACAGACCACTGTACCATACAATGTGAGTTGTAGGGAAGCAGCCACAGAGAAGATGGTCCAGGCAACAATATAGAGCAAAGGGTCTGAGGTTCAAAATGCACCATCTATTTTACAATTTTGTCTTCTATCCAATCTGCTGTACTTATTGACCAGGATTAGCTGAGCAGAGCAGACCAAATAAGGAATATAAATTAGGCAAAACTCAGGAGTAAAGATAGAACATTCTTGCAAGAAAATTTGCTTAATTGCAAGAATGGTAACTGCCGATAAGTATCTGTGGTCCCAGAATAATTGACTAAATCCTTTATGGATGTTTCTGTAGGGGGTGGGAGAGAAGAAGTGGTCTGGAGAGAAAGGTACCTGCTTTTGGAGTTTGCTTTTGGCTCCCCTAAAGTCTCCAGTTGGCTAATTAATCATTTAATACCCCTTTTGGTGTTTAATGTCTGCATAATGATCTAATGAAGACAGAAGAAATGAAGACAGATGCATTCATTTGCATGAGTTCACTTATGTATCAAGGTTTACTGAACAAACACTGAGGTAAAACAGTGGAACTTGGGCAAGTCAATATGTACAGATGATTTCTTTCTTTGGTGATTTAAATTGCAAATATCACTCCCCCAATTAAGAGGACCGTGTAGCGAGCACTGTAATCTCTTTCAATTAGCAAGCAGCACAGGCAACAGATGATGTCTAACTAGTGAGGAAAGAAATGGTTCTGAATTTGACTTTTTCCTTAATCACCATATCTAATTATCTTAGAAAATAAAAGGTATAGGTTTACATCTATACCATTACTTACTCAACATAACTGAACAGAATCCCATTGATAGAATGAAATTTAGTTGTTTGCTGTTTTTCTTTGTGTTTGTAATTCAATCTTTTTCATTACTGAACTCCAGAAATTTTTAAGAAAAGTAACAGTGATGCTTGGCAAACATAAGAGAATTATGAAAAGTTCTTACAAACAAATAAGGTTATTTAAAAACATAGATGGTTATACAATTAATATGCAGAAAACTATATCCTTTATGTAGACGAACAGCAGCCAGTAAAAGGTTATTATAGAAGAGAAGGCCCCATTTACAATAGCCAAAAGGTAAAATTCCTAGGAAAAAACTTAACAAAACTGTGCAAGAACTATATGAAGACAACTTTAAAGTGCTTCTGAAGGATGTAAGATTAGAATAAATGAAAAGGCATCCCATTCACTCATTCAATAAGAACTGAGCACTTACTATGTGCCAGATAGTGTTTGAGGCATTGGAGATACAACACTGAACAAAATGGATACTATTCCTGCCATCTAAGAACTAATATTCCAGTGGATAGAATAAGTCAACATAAAAAGTGTTGATTTTCTTTAATCAATTTTATATCTATATAGTAGCAATGAACATATGTACATTAAAATTAATAATATCATATATAATTGTTCCAAAAATGAAATTCTTAGGTGTACAAGTAACAAAACATACACAGTACTTACATGGTGAAAACTAAAAAATGCCAAAGAAAGAAATTAAAGAAGGCCTAAATAATTGGAGAGACAAACATGGGCATGCACTGGGAGACTCAGCATAACAAAGACATTAATTCTTTCCAAATTGATATATAGGTTTAATGCAAACCTTATCAAAATCCCAGCAAAATATTTTGTAATTGTAGACAAGATTATTCTAAAATTTATATGAAAGGGAAAGGAACAATTTTTAAAAAGAAGAAAGTGGGAGAATTTAGTCTACTCAATTTCGAAACTTACATAGTTAGAGTAATAAAGGCTGTGTGGTAGGCCAGGTGCAGTGGCTCATGCCTATAATCCCAGTACTTTGAGAGGCTGGGAGGGGAGAGTCATTTGAGACCAGGAGTTCAAGAGCAGCAACAGAGTGAGACCTCATCTCTACATAATTTTTTTTTTTTTTAAATAGCTGGGCATGGTAGTGTGCACCTGTAGTCCCAGCTACTCAGGAGGCTGAGGCCGTAGGATCACTTGAACCTGGGAGGTCAAGGCTGCAGTAAGCCATGATCATGCCATCGCACTCCAGTCTGGGCGATAGAGTGAGACTCTGTATCAAAAAACATAAGCAAAACCACTGTGTGGTATTGATGGAGAGAGAGACATATAGATCACTGGAACAAAACAGAGGACCCAGGAATAGTCTCACACAAATATGACATACTGGTTTTTGAAAAGATGCAAATGCAATTCAGTAGAGGAAAGGTAGCCTATTCAACAAATGATGCTGCAGTAATTTGACATCCACAGGCAAAATAAATAAAATAAATAAATCCCACAACTTGCCCACAGTTTCACATCTGGTATAAAATTTAACTCAAAATGAATCACAGTAAAAAAAAAAAAAAAACCATAATATTATAGAAATTGTATGAAATACTTATAAACTGTAGGAAAACATAGTATAAAAATTTTAAGATCTAGGTTTAGTGAAGGGTTTCTAGATTTGACATAAGCATGATCCATAAAAGGAAAAAAATCCAGCAAATTGGACTTAATCAAAATTAAAAA